ACGGCGCTCGGGTATCACTACCCTCCACCCCCATTCCCAGCCCCATTTGCGCAGGGGGCGATACGCTACTGGAAATGCGGACCCATTCTTCCTACATAAGATAAGGGTCAAGATCCACGAGGAGAGGTCAGTATACAGTTTCAAATGCCCAGTTCACTTTGGTCGTCTGGGCGGAGCCAGATGTGCCACTTCCCTAATGCGACAAAGAGGAGGGGCGGGATCCATGAGAAAGGCGCGCTGATAGGCCCAACTACGTCCACATGATAAGCGTGGACTGTGACGTAGAATGGGCACCAGAACCAGGGAAAACCAGGGAAAACCAAAAACCCAAAAGCAGAAAGCAGGGCAGAATTTTTAGCACAGGTTCCAAAATCTTCGACCTAAGGCTAATATAACCTCTCCCGACGTTTTAGAAGGCATCAGGAGTACAGGTTTATTAAGCTCCTAAAGCCACTCTGCAACCAGGATCAAGTCTCCACTTGACGCTATAGAAAAGGCACCTTTGTGCAGAGTCCATCGGCGCGTTTATTCGGACCCTTAGACTTTGCACTTTTTCCCTGTTTTTCATCTCTGATGAGAAGAATCGGAACAGCGTGAATGTTCAGGTGAATTCTCCAAGAGGATAGGCTGAAAAAGGTGCATACTGGTTACACCAGAGAGGCAGTACTTAAGGGTAGAGATATTAATGTTGTCCCGAACTGAGACCTTCTACGCACTCTACAGAAGTACTTCCTGACCCTTTTATAAATTCCACAAAATCAATTTAGTGAGTGCTAAAGTGCATGGATTTGACATAAATTCGCTTTTGAGCCAATGGATTAGCAGAAAGCATCTAAGAAAATCAAACAGTGCCTATACAGTACCTGTGTCTGAAGTCTAGTGAGACCAAGTAACCACAGCATTTGACCAGGACGTTTCTCTTGAAGACCGTCCGGTTTCGGTGCCAACGACGACGACGACGGTGCGTCGTAGTCGCCGGTGAGCAGAATTGACGTCGGTTTCACTTCTCCTTTACCGAATCGGAATGACTTCGGCAATATCGACGATGGTATCGTCGTGACAACCTGAGGCGGAAATAAAACCAGCGTGTATGAACTGAATGAACAAAACAAATGTGACTAAATGGGACTAATTCCCATTGAAATGAGTGCTTAGCAAAGGCAACGCTCAGATCTGTGAGAGCGCTCAGTAAGATGGACTTAGAAAGTTTAGGAAAGATAGTTGCTTCAACACCGCCGGCCGGAGGGGTGCTTCGAACCCACCCGCCTATGGGTGAAATAGATTGGGTGCAGCCTGGTCCCACGCCTCGTCCCCACTTCCTTAATTCCTTCAAGCTAGGAACTCGGAGATCCAGAAGGTAGTGTTCTGCAAAAGCGGGTGTTTTATAAAGAAACCCTCACATGATGCAATGGAATGTTACGAAGTGCTAGCCTGTTACTATCCATCTGAACTTCATGGGAATTTGTCAAGTAAGTCAGGGGATTTTCTCTATGTCCAATGTCCTCCTTTGGTTCGACTCGTCCGACGGCTAGCGGTTCGGACCTCATCCCATACGGCGCTTTTTAACCTTTCACAGTTTGGCCTCCGAAAAATGGAATTAAAGTACACAGCCTCCGATCATCTACGCAGATCTAGCATTTTATAGAGGTCGCGTCACGAGTTTTGGATTTACCGGTCGCATCGCAGTACGGACCCCTCTGCCTGAAGTGCGCTTGATGCGCGCCCTCCCCTTAGTGAAGGGTTTGTTGTAATTCCCAGGACACGTCTTGCCATTGGGAAGAATTTTTGCAAATCACTTCCACCCCCCCCCCCTTCCCACTCCTACTCACCATCTCCCCAAATTTTCCCAGCTCCTTACTACTTTTCGGGAGAGAATGAAAAGTTCTTAGTTTTGCCCAAAAAACTACCGTCGAGTCAGGATGTGGGGAAGGGCACATGAGAGAAGGAAAACTAAAGAAAAGTTAACAACCGAACTTTCCTTGAAGGCAATTATGGCCTCGCCCCTTCCAGCAACCGAGCACCACCCCTCGCTGGGTATCCCAAACGTCCCACGCGCCCTGATCCCGGAACTGTTGTCCCGCTCCCTACTGAACAGATCTACGCGTTGCCTTTTTGCTTCTGCTCTGATGATATAAATAAATCTACTCACTACAAAAAAACTTCTTAGAATATCACACAGATGAAAAACAAACTAATCAACTACTCAAAACCTACTCAAACTACTAAAAACTAAAATAAAATCATTTTCTACTTCTAAACAAAACGATTTCTTCGTGAAACCTTGTCAAAACTAGTTCAACGCAAGCAAGTGCTGGTGCATTTGCTACCTCGTGGGAGTTGAAACAAGTAAAAATCGCATTTGGATAACGAGTTATTTATTATGCGCTTGCGTTTCCACTGTAACCCTATCATTTTTGATGTTCGGGAAGATTTTTGAGAATTAATTAAATCATAGGAAAGACTGTAGGAGAACAGGAGCAGGACAACTAAGCTTAACCAACCTGTCCCCAAATGAGTTCTCCCAAACCACAAGCGATACAGATCGCCCATTGAATGGCGTTCAGCGGAGCAGTGGAGAACCAATGACCACCGAACTGTACGATTAACACTTGTGAAATGAGCGTTGAAATCCAGATGACGCAGAAAATTGGATTTGAGAAGAGCCCCTGAAAATAGGGATAATTAGGAATAACATGGTGCCGATGCAATTGTCAGACTTAGAGACACATTCACCAAGTCGGAACCACGGGTAGTGGGGTTTAACCCAAATTTTCAGGTGGTGACCGATACACCCCTGAAGAAAAGAGCGAAATAATAAGTCGTAAAAACCTTCTGAAATGCTCCAGAAAGACCCCCCTGCCGATACGAGCACGTACGAGCATACGGTGATGAATGAGTGTGCTTGGACGAGTTCCTTTTTACTGGTATAATAACGATGATTCGAATTTTCGCAAAAATGCTGTTTTATCGGCAAAAGACTCGACCATAGGCGGGACTTGAACCCGCACATATTTCTTTCCGGGCGAGTGCGCTAACCGTTGCGCCCCATAAGCCCCTTATCTAATAGCTCGTATCTCTCTCATCACTTCATTCTCACCATTGTGAGTGGAAAGAGCTTGTAGCGAACGATTACTCCATGAGGAAGCCTTCAGAGATCAGCTTGGGTGGAGTTTAGCACGATGGGCGTGATATTGCCTTTATCGCAATGCGATGGCGTCGTTATCAGTTTTTTTAAGCCGAGAAAGCGGTAGATCCTCTGTTGTTCAGAAATCCATCTTGTCAAAGGGCCGCATTTACAGACCAATTAAGGCGAAAATTGACTTGAAAAGGCCGATACCTCATACCCTATACAGCTCTGAGAAACCGGGTCGACTAGAAGACTAGCAAAATGAGCAAAACGTCCTCCCTCTCCCCCTTAGCCGAACGACCAATGAAGCAACGGTTTCAGCGAACTTGAACTAACCTTGAAGACATTTCGTTCTCCATGGACTTTTCTGGCGTTGATCTCATTGCACAGGGTCATCAGTACGAATGCATTGAAAACAATCGTGAAGTGGGCACTTGGAGGTGATCCCAACGGGGCATTTCGACCAGAGGGCGTGTCCGGGATAAACTTATCACCTGAAATATTATGTAATAGATGTAGCAGCTGCACCTGAGACCTTTCATTTGTTTAAATTTTTATTTATATTCCAGTTCCCATTTGCCATCCAAATAGTCGTCATCACGGGAGTAATTAGAAGATCGCCACTCCAGCTAGGTTTTGGCGAAGCGCAAGCCCTCACTCAGTGGACGCCCAAAGTGGTGGCGATCGATGGAAAACGGGCTGGTATATCGCCAAAACTCGTGCTCAGCTGCCACGCCCCGACTAACTTCTGTGATAACGGCTCTTCATAATATAGTTACAGTAAAAATTAATCTTACCCCAGAACAAGATGCCGAAGAGAATTATAAGTTGATAAATAGCATGTCCGACAATGTTTTTGACCATAGTCCGTGAGATCAGCGATTTTGTTCGACCGTAAGGTTTCCTATAAAATGTGTTTTCATGGAACTCTTACCTGAATCAAAGAAGAAATCACGTTACCTGTCAAGAAGCTCCTCAGTGGGCATTTCAGTAGCCAAAGCCAATGAAGCCAAGGTGTCCATGATCAGATTCACCCACAACATTTGAACAGCCTTTAAAAGATTGAATATAAGAATGTTATAGATAAAAATCACAAATAAAGCAAAAAATATAAAGCTCTGTCCGTTAATCAATCCCTTTGTGGGATGCGGCACGCATTCTACTTCCATTCAGAATCGTAGTGGCTTATTGAATGCGATGTGGCCTATACAATGACTTGCGGGGGCCAGCCGATGTACAAGTCAGTGTTTTATCCTCCCAGACGAATCTGGTACCAATTTACCGTCCCCGGAGGGTAGAAGGCTTGGTTGGCCTGGGCGGAGTCGACCCGGGATTTGAACCCAGGACCGCGCGAGTGGTAAGCGCGCCACTTGTCACTACACCACCTCTGCCTCAATCATAGAAATTGGAATGAAAAACACGGTGGTCGAGTTTTCATGTCGACTCCGGCAGTACCAAACACCACATAGCAACAAGCGTTTGTCTCGCTGATCACAAGAGAGACAGAA